GGAATCGAAGTAGATTGCCTCGGAAACAGCGTCAGCATGAATCTTCCAGTAAAGCCAATCGACAATTGGTCAAGAGGAATCCGCCGTCGTCCTCTGGTGGAACTGACCTTCGAATCTCTTCACCCAACCCAGACTGACGGGTTCGGACTGGTGGTTTCGCAATCTGACTTTCACGTGTACACACTTACATCTTGTCAATGTGACCAGGGTAACTTACTGACTAACGCAATCCCGGCCATCCTTTTATCTTTTCTTTTTTCTTAGCTCATTCAGTCTTGATGAACTGGGGCTGAAGATAAGCTTTTTATAACTACTGTTCGATTTTGCATACAGACGTTGACAGACATACATAAATAGACATACTCGTATATACTTGAATTATACAAACTTTTCTATATCCATTTGTATCTTTTATTTTTACTCGCAATGGCCATATAGAAAATATAGAAAAAAGCCGGTTATTCCTCTTGATTTAGTGTTAAAATGTGGCTTTTACGAGAATGAGTCCCAGCTCTGACGATGTTCGTCACATGACGAACAAGGGCTCCATCTGTCGTATTAACGCCAAACGGCTTTAGTATACGCAAATTAGTTGATGTCTTCTGGTGAGGCTGACCTACGGGTCTCTTCATCCTGTACTTCCATACAAAATGAAAGTCTTCACATCAATCATACTTTTCTGCCTGCTCAACCATCACCTTTTATTCGGTAGTATATGGGATTCGCAATTATGTATCATCTCCTCGATAGACCTAGCCTAGTATAACTTCCACCGCGACTTCTGACCTCTGCAAGCCGGAGGGATTGCATGCAAACCCAAAATAACCCTCAACGATTTAGTCATATTCGCTAGTAGGAATGAAGACCAGACTGTTGTAACCTTTGGTTTGACCGCAGTCTTCTTTCGCTGTATAGCGCTTGATTAACCTACTTTTTTCAACTTATTTATGCTGTCAAGCAAGATTTCGGAGAAGCTACCTCATGCTCCGTCCCCAGCTAATGTCATCAAGTCTTCTCCAACCATCAGACTGCTGTCTGAGCGCATTCTCACACATTTCGACGGTATCATAGGCGACAGCACCAGTGAATAGTTCCGACCTCAGCATCGAGCGATTGGTCATTCTGATGAGTTGTCACTCGGTGCTAAGAATCTACCGAAAAGTTTGAGAATGTGCCCAGTCAACTGTTCTAGGCTGGAAGACAGCGATACAGGGAACACTAATCGAATTTGCCATGGCAACATGGGAAATTTGCAAAATCAAGAGCCACCTAATCCTGTAGTTTGTTGTCTTTTAGCTATTTCGGCCTGACTAACGGTTCACAGATGCCAAAGCATTCCAACCTCAGAATTATATATTTTCAATTCAACCATAGTCCGAAACAGTATCCGGGCTGTATCATCTCAAAATGACGATATGGTCAATGGGTGGGCATACTTGACATTATGTTGCCAAATGTCTTGTGCTGATCTGGTCTCGGGTATGACTAGCACGAAGTTGCCCAGACGCCCCTCGATTAAAGCATATGGCTCCTCTACATCTGGTGTCGAAGCGACCGGTTGCAGGGAAAACCCTCTGTCTTGGTCCATCGCAATAGGATAATGAAGCACTGACGGTAACTGGGTTGATCGAGTCAAGTTGAAGCGAGGCTCTGAGACACGAGACAGTGGAGATGATTCGCTCGAGGTCGAAGGCGGTGGTGGCACCGTCCCTTGTCTCGGCGGCATGGGCAGTACTTCTGACGCCATGGTGATGAAGAGCAGTTTTTCCAGCGTGTTGATGCCCACCCAAAGGGCATTTCTCCATATCTCATGCTCCATTTCAAGCATGGCGTTGATGAACGCGGTGGCTAGCGGAGAGGACAGCAACAGAACGAAGACTTGAAGTTGCGAAAAATGCAAAAAAAGTACATGATGTAGATGAAATAGAGATGACATTTCAACTCTGGTACTGGCATTAGGACGATTTCAGTAACTCAATTGAGTAAACTAGCTCAGACGGCTTCTTCATGGCTTCGTCATGGGAGACCGTGGAAACGTACAATCTACAGATTGGCTGCTTGTGCGGGACAATAGCTTATCTGGGCAGGTCAGATCGAAAGCTATTGCATGCAATGATGCAGTTGCATCGTGAACACTGACTATCCCGAAACGGATGCTCAATGAAGCTGGAAATTTCTATTAAACTTTTAAGAAGCAATATACAGTGAATGCAATTCATTGGTAGAACTGCCAATTTGTAGAAGTTTAAGAATTATGATGGCAAATCTTACTTAAGAACTTGGCCATCCTTAGTCTATTCAATGACCGATATTTGAGGTCTTCCCACGACGAGATGGGTAGGCAGCCGGATGGCATTAAAGCTCCATTTCCTCACAATGTTTTTCCATCGAGAAGAGTTAAATAAAAAAATGCATTCGAAATGAACTAAGAATACCAAACTGAAAAAAAATGTGAACAGACAAATCCTATTTTTGATGCGAGCAGGTATCGAAACTATTGGAGAGCCTATTCATGTTGGGTTGCTTAAGATGATTTAAGATGCGATATTGGAGGTTTTCGCGAAAGCATATGTACAGACTTCAAGATAGCATTGAAGTTTAATGAGCCTTTTCTCAAAAAAGTCTTTTCTATCCAGGAAGGCCGGTTTCGCTCAAGTAACAGCAGAACACCCAACATTATTCCGAGCTGGTTCTTTTATAACACAGCAACGCAAGTCACTACCACTCAACACAACCGCAATTGTCAATGGCCTGTCTTGAATGTCATATCTGCCCTGGGACCCATTGACACCCGTGACTGTGTTGACGAGGGGTAACATGTGTCGCCAAGATGCAGACGATACGCTCAAAATCCCGTTGAGAGTGCTGACGAGACTTTTTGAAAGGAAGGGTCGGGTGAAATACAACGGCCCTCTCTTCTGATTGTTGGAGAGCTCAATTGTCAGTCTTTAACTCACCTTAAACGACCCAGCGTGAAAAAATTTATTATTCACAGTCCAAGGTCGAAAGCTGCAAATTATCATAACCCCCATAGCAGAAGACTTTGGACAGGGTTCGTATAACTAGACCATCCTGATAGCATGAGCAATTTGCGAAGACGAGGTCAGACCACTTCATAAATATGGACCTCTTGCTCCATTTTTTCATTATAGTATTCCTTGTTCATTTCCCTGTTAATTTTTACACTTGGTCATCTCCTCAGCATGTCTAAACCTGCCTCAAGGTATGCTGTATAATTAATGATGCCACCACATTAACCACATACTCACGAAACTCTCTTACTACGCCAAAAGTCTAGTGCATAGGAAAGAATAGGTCATCATCCTTAACAACCTTTTGCGTCTTTGTGCAGTGCCAGATTATGGAGTATGTATTTGCTGGAGTTCGACTTGTTCCACACGCTCATCAACGTTATGATGTTCGGCCCACAGAACGGGATCGGATTTTGGGTTCTAAGTCCTTCCATCAATGACTTCAACAGTTGCGAATAGGATCCCTCCTCCACCACGATATTTACATATTTGTAGTCGAATTTTCTGAAATTATGCATATATGTGGGTAAACTTGTGAGCAATGAGAGCAAAAAGTATAATTTTGACATGAAAGCACTTAACAATATGAAAAACACCGAATCATTAAAAAAGATATACTAAAACATTTGCATTGTGTGTTTATGGCTGGACTGTCTCTCGTTTAATGGGCAATATTGATTAAAGTAGAGATTATCTAAGATTACAATTTATTTTCTACGCATTCACTAGTTATGAACGCGAAATATGATGTGAATTGAAAGAATACATTTTCCTCCTCGTGCATAATGGTTAAAGCCGTGAACAGAGGCATGCCTTGTGGCGAAATTCTTTTGGGTTGCATCTTTTTCCTGTTTTTGGTTTCTGTATATTTTTTTATCAGCTGATAAAAGACAGGGTCATCATGAACCAGCCAGCCAGATCGTACTCTTTGACCCATTTCGGGAGAGCTCAATCCATCAGTTGACAAATTATTATTAAGCATAAGCCTTTTTACCTCTCCTTTGGAAGTTCTTGAACCTGCGGTCCATCAGAATGAGCGGCTTGAGGTGGTGATGCTGTCTAGCCTAACTTGCCTGCCCTCATTTCGGTTCTTGGTTGTGTGGTCAAAATCCTCAGAATACATGTTCTTACGAGTCATGTGGCCGATTAACTTCCTTCTTTCATGGCATACATCACTTTTTATGTCGCTACGACGTATTCCTTTCTTTGGGAGACTTTCGGCCACCCCATCCATCAGAAAATTTACACACACACGGAACTTCGTCGACATGTTTTGATTGAATTATCCAGGAAATCAACAACACCCTCAAAATAGTGACTCAGTATTATTTAGGAAATTCTCCCCATTTCGGGGAACCTAGCCGTTCTCAGCCCGCCAATCTTACATTTATAGACGGAACTTAAAAGGATATATATATACATATATACATATACTAGTGTATATATATGTATATATGAGCATTAGGTGTACATTAAGGTCAGCGAGGCAGTTTTATCTCCATCGAAAGACCCTATCAGCACATTAACTTTGGCCGAAATTTTCCATTCTAGCATAAGCATATGTTGTTCAGGTTTGTCGCCAGCCAGCTTTCCCATTTCTTGTATTGACTTCTTGGCAACCTTGATTGGAGTTGGTTTAAAGAAGTAAGAGAATCAAAAGCTTCAAGGTCTACTCCAGTCCTAGTTCAAATGAGAAGTGACGATGACAAACTACGATGGGTTGTGTTATGTAATTCCAGATGAAGCATTATTGTTATAAGTTATACTGACAGCCGATACCACATCTGCCTAATTTAACAAACTGCCCCAAATAGTCTATCTCCCCATTCCAACTGTACTCTTAGGGCTAATAACTATTTGCTCATCTTCGTAAATAGGGTGCGATGGATCCGTCTGTACCAACAAGACAAGTCTTTAAACTATTTTATTTTATTACCATCATATTAACTCATATTTCGTTATTTACAGGGTGTTTCCTTTCTGCTCGAGATGTTATCCCTTGAGCAAATAGCTACAAGTAGTTGCTGAATTACAGTCTCCTTCGTTCGTTCTCGACACCCTTCAACAATTGTTCTTGCATTTTAAGCTCGT